GATGGATAAGCGAAATGTGGTATCCACACACCAGGGAGTATTTCTCAGCCACAGAAAAGGTGGGAATCCCACCATGTGCCACGAAACGGGTGAGGCCTGAAGGCCTTACGCCCATGAAATAAGCCAGACAGAACAGGACAGATCCTGCCTGACTCCACTCATGTGAGGTCCCAGAGTCATCAAATTCATAGAGACAGAAAGCAGAAGGGTAGGTGCCCGGGGCATGGAGGGGCAGCGGGGAGTTGGTGTTTAATGGGGACAGAGTTCTGATTTGGGCCGATGGAAGAGTCTGGAAATCATGGTATGATGCTTGCACAGCACTGTGAACGTGCTTCACGCCACCAAGTGAACACTGGAAATGATTTAAAGGGAGCCCCCAGCTGATCGGTGGGACCCCCGCCCTGTGCTTCCTGGACCCGAGAGGACCAATCAGGCCCTTCTGAAAGGCAGATTTGCGAGCAGCACTTCCAGCCCGTCTGATGAAGGCTGTGGCAGCAATGGCCCTTGGTCAGAGAAACCAGAGAGAGGGCAGAAGGGAGAACTGACATAGCCACCTGTGGGGACAGGGACCGGGGATAGGTAGGGGACGCCAGACCCAGAAGTCCTGCTTCCCGGATCCGCTCATGAGGCCAGCCTCCTGCCCGCCCTGGCTGCCTGAATCTCTGTCAGGAAGCACCCTCTGCATTTAGGGCAGTGTCAGAAATGTCCCACTGCCCTAATCAAACCTAGCTTGTAAGACAGCAGCCTTCTAACCATGCACAACTCCAGTCTTCTGAGTGGTGTCAGGTGAAAGAAATCATATACAAGGGAAGACAAAGCAAGATCATCCCTTCACGTGGTTCCCCACAGGCAGCTGGGTGAGCTGGAAGTCCTAGTGAGGCTGAGGGACCGACTGGATTCTGCTTCTCCGCACACCAGGTCCAGGGCCCGACAGTCCTTTTCAAGAGGCAAATCTGGAGGGGTGGGAAAAGGTGCCTTCCCCACTGTGTGATGGGGAGAAAGAGGGAATCTTAAACGTGGGCAATGTTACAACACACTCATGCACCGAAATGTCGGAAGGTGCTGAACAGTTAGGGAAATGACAGGAACAAAGAAGTCCCCGTCTACCTAAACTCTAGAGCTCTAAGCACAGGGGCGCACCCCTCCTCGGCCCGCTTCCCACGCACCATGAGGCTGACACCTTCCCAAGCGAAGCAGGGTGTCACTTAGCAGTTACCTTAGTGACTACCTGACCAGCGACCCAAACCCATCAGACGTTTGGCTGCCTTCAGCGCCAGCTGCTCTTTCTGCAAAAGCGCTGCCTTCCTTCTGCCGGCCCCGTCAGACGCTCAGGGCAGGGCACGGAGCAGCCCAGCTGAGACCCAACAGCCAGGCCCAAGCCAGCCACATGCTCCCCAAGAGCGGATCTCCCAAACCCCAGCTCTGGCCAGGGTCCCCAGCCTGATGCTCCCCTGCGCCCAGGCCTGGCCACATCCCCTCTCCTGCCCACACGCAGCTGGCCAGAGAGGCCCTCTCTCCATGTGCCCCGTGGACCCCCAGCCTCTCAGACACCTTAACCCCCACCCACTCACCATGACTCCTCATCAGGGAACAGGAACCTTCCTCCCCAATAAGGACCTATGCTGGAACTTAGGGTTTGTCCTTACAGGGGTCAAACGGATCCCGCCCCAGAGGCCCCCATCCTGAGAGCACCCCTATGTGGCAAGCATGCGATCCCTGAAGCCCCCCACTTGGGGAGCGGGCCTGCCCATGCCTCCTGTAGCCTCTGAGCCCCTGCAGAGCGCCACCCATTCACTTGCTCATCCTGCTGGCCTGGCTCCCAGGTTGGGAGGCCGAATCTAACAGAGGAGGCAAACTCTACCCCTGACGCTACCAGAAGCTGAGGCCTGGGGCTGCCGGCCACCCAGGGACCGCCCAGGCCTGTCACAGGCTGCGCACCCTGCATGCCTCTCCCATCACTGCAGGGCCGCTACCCAGGCGCCTGCTGGGTCCTTCCCTGCCCTCTCTCGCCTTCCTTCCGTCTTTATGAGACCTAATGGTCCCAAGAGGCTCACCTCCACCTCCCACAATCCTCTGACCAGCGCATTCCTAGGGGGTCTTGCCCCTCATGGCAGCCCTGCCCATCTCCAGAGCCTCCATTCCTCAGTCCTGGCTCCCTGCACCCCGCACTCCTGCTAGGACTGAGCCCCACTGGCCACGTGGGCCAGGCTGTTCCCATGGCACCCTCTGTCCCCACTCCTCTTCCCATTCAATTTGCTTTGTGGGGCTAAGTTTCAAAGGGAACGAAAACGAAGGCACAGCCCACAGCCACAGCCTCCGCCCCGTGCTCCCTCTTCAGCATGTGTGCCTGCATGGTGTGTTTGTGGGCATGTGTGGATGTGCATGGCTTGTATCTGTGCAGTGTGTTCACACACATGTGCATGTGTGTTCGCTGTGTGCATGTGTGCTTGCGGGGGGTGCACGTGTGCCGGGGTGTGCGTTCACATGCACGTATCATGCATGTGCCTGTGGTGCGTGCGCGCCTGTGCCTGTGTGTGCACATGGGTGTGTGGGGTGGGAGCTGTCCCCTGCACTCTGCCCTTCAGCCTGCCTGACTCTGCCAGGACACCCTAGGCTCCCACTCTCCAGGAAGAACAACACTGAGATCCTACAGCCCTGGGGAGGGAACCTGAGGAATCCCACCACCCCTGGGGAGGTGCAGCTGTCACCTGGGCGGGCAGTGCTGCTTTTCTCCCCTGCCTGCCCAGCACCTGCCTCCACGTCCCCGCCTGGCCAGCGGCCTTTCTATGCCTGTGCTGGTTCCTCTCTTACCTGAGTGACGTGAGGGGGAGTCGCTAGCTCTATCTGGGACAGGCTGCCCCCCAGCCCCTGACCCCTCCACTCCCGACCCCCTGCCCCAGCAAGCTCAGAGCACAGACATGAGCCAGGTGGGGAGTCTCGGTCGCACTCCACACAGCTCGCCACAGAACTCTCTAGAACGAAAGAGGCCTCGGATGCCCCCAGCTCTTTACGAGTCCCAGGCCACTAGCACCGATTCTCACGGGAACCCCGGGAGACTAGAAGAGCTGTTATCACCACCATCATCCGACAAGGACAGACACAGAGAGCCAGGAAACGTGAAGAGTGGCGGAGAGAGCCTGCCCAAAACGCCCCTTCAGCAGAAGGATGACGCTAAAGGCACGTGCGAAACATGCGAGCGGTGCACCCTGACCTTCCTCTTCCCTGAAAGCAGGAGGTAAAGACACGGAAACATTCTTCTCACCAGCGGTGGAGCTGGGGGCAAGGAAACGTGAGATGGGCCCGGGCTGCTGTGCCCCTTCCCTGTGACGAGCTGCCCTCCCAAGCCCCTCGGCTCACTGTATTTGCCGATTTGCTTCTCTTTGTCCACCTGTCCCCATGTCTCAACGTCCTCAAGTTCTTGTCCCAATGTCCTCAGGTGGGACCTGAGTTGGAGAAGTGGGGTTTACATGCACCACCCAGCATCTCAGGGACCTGGGTGACCCAGGCTCACGAGGGGCCAGAGGTCCCTCCCTCTACACGAAAGCGAGCCCTTCCTTGTTCCCCTGGTCTTAGAGCCCCGGGGTCACCCTTGTCCCCAGAACCCCACATGGAGCCCCTGACCTGGCTCTCCCGTGGGGCTGAGCACAGTGATGCCTGTCCAGGGCTGCCCCCGACTCCAGCCCCATTGCTCGGAGCCTGCCCCCCACTTCTTCTGCGGCTTCGCTGAGCATCGGGTGCTAGCAGCTGTGCACCCCAACCACTCACCTCAGGGTCAGACCCCCCCTGGAGCAGGGCAGAGGCTGGCCACTGCCCAGCCAGGAACATCTAGACCCCACTGTGGGAGATCACACCCAACAGGTCCTCTAGCCAGGCACACTGTTAGTTCCTTCACAGTGACAGCAGCAGGGACGGTCATGATCGAGGCAGCTAAAGGCTGCCTGCCAGCACTGATCACGGGTCTTCCATTGATTCACCAAATTCTCACCACAAGTCCATGGGCAGGGCAACTTTACACTGTGATCCCTAATCCAAAGCCTCGGGACCATGTGTTTTGGATTTTTTTGCCTTTCCGAGACTCACTCCTGCATCTGCAGTAGAGGTGTGGGGACCCCCAGGCGCTGGGCTGATTGAAGTGTACATGGTTGCACGTCTCTTCAGGCCAGACCGTGCCACCAAGGGTTTTTGTGCCAAGCTTAAGAAAAAAAAAACTTCATTTTTTGGAACTCTTTGGATTTAGGAATTAAGGAGGTGTATAATCCTCCCTGCACATGTGAGGAAACTGAGGCACACAGAGGCCAGGTGGCTTGCCCAGGGGAGGCAATGGGGACGGGGCAGCAACCCACGTCCCAGTGGGCCATGCCACTACAGCACCATGTGCCTCGTCTACCCTGGATGTCGGCTTATAGCATGACGGGGCCCACTTCCCATCCCCAGGCTGTGAGGATGAACCCGGGAGGCTGAGGTGTTCAGGCTGACCACACAGAGACAAACCAGGAAAACAGTCGACACCCGCTCCAGGCGCCCTGCAGGCAGCGTGCGCCCCAGCCCCAGCCCCAGCCCCAGCCCCACCCCGCGTGCAGGTGCAGAAGCTGTGTGATGGGCTGTGTCTTGCCCGCCCCATAGTCGAATGTGACAGCCCTACCCCGCCCCCGTCCCTATAAAGGTGGCCTTTTTCAAAGAGGGTCTTTAAAGAGGCAGTTGGGTTAAAATGAGTTCATGGGGGCCCCTAATCCAGTATGACTGGTGTCCTTCTAAGAAGAGATTAGGACACACACACGCGTGAGGACAGGGAGAAGGCAGCGTCTGCAAGCCACGGCGAGGCCTCCCCAGAAACCAGCCCTGCGGACCCTGTACCTCCGACTCCAGCCCCAGGACCGCGAGGCCTCCGTGGCACAGGCCAGGCCGCCACCTGCAGTGCTTTGTCATCACCCAGGACAGGGCGGCGTGCGGGGGGTGACTGGGCTCCCCTGGCAGCTGGGTGGGGACCAGGACAGTCTCACCTCCAGACATATGACAGAGCCCTGGTGCTCCCGGAACACCCGCAGCTGCTCCCCACTCAGGATGTCCCAGGCGCGGACGGTGGTGTCGGTGCTGCCCGTGAAGGCCGTGTGGCTGGGCGTGTCCAGCACCAGGCACAGCACCGCGCCCGTGTGGCCCCGCAGTGTCTGGTGGCAGCAGCCGCTGGCCACCTGCCACACCTTGGCCGTGCCGTCTGTGCTGCCGGTCACCAGGAGCCCCCCAGCCACAGCCTCTTCCACGCAGGGAGCGCCGGGGAGGTCCCACGGGGCAGAGTAGGCTAGAGTCAGCACGCAGTTGCGGTGGCCCCGGAACTCCCGGCACATCTGCCCCTCGTCCACACTCCAGACCCGAGCTGTCCGGTCGTAGGAGCTGCTGAAGAGCTGGTTGTTGACAACCAGGATCCTGGGGGCAAGAGGGAAAGGGTCAGGGGTCAAAAGGCACAGGTTCCAGAATCCACACAGCCTCCCATTGAGCCATGCTCCACGCTGCAGCTAAAACAACCTCTCCCTGTGTCTGCCCAGCTCGCCACATTCACCTTCCAAGGTCCAGCTGAAGTCGCTCCCACCTCCAGGAAGCCATCTGGAATCCCCTCACGCCCACCCCTCTCTGCCTGCCCCTAGGCCTGTACCTGCAGCAGAAACCAAGCTTAGGTCCCTCACTGGGGTCCCTCCAACATCCCACAGCAGCTCTCCAGGAGCAGTGGGAAGAGGGAGGAGGGGGAGGAGGTGGGGGAGGGCAGCCCTCCCAGCTTGCCCAGAGTTGAAAGGATTCTGGGGATGCAGGGTTTTCAGCGTAAGACTGAGAAAGTCCAGGGCAGAGTGGGATGTGCTGGTCACCCTGGGAACAGGGCCGACTCAGGTGGCTGGGCTGGGGCCTTCGGATGAGGGCCCCGAGAGGCTGGCGAGCACTGGAACTCTCATAGTGCGCCCAGGGGTGCTAGTGGAAGGCACAGCCAGGGATCACACCGCAGCCAGCGGGGACTCTGCTGTCAACTGTCATGGCCATCCCCCTGCAGGCTGAGGTCACAGCTACAACAGGGGTCCAGCCACATGGCTGGGAACTGGGGTGGGTAGCCCAGAGAGTATGTCCATTCAGTGGAACTGACCAGCCACGGGAGACCAAGGCCCCTGCGCAGTATTCATTTTGATGAAAGCCAAGAACTTCTCCCCAGAAAAACACACATTTGTCTTTAGTATAGAGCTTTGCACAGAACCTCACCGGGTTTGTGCGCTGGTAAGAAGCCCTCACCCCAGGAGAGGAGGCCACCGAGGGATGCGAGCGTGTCTGCCCTATACCAAGGTGCTTCCCTGCCAGGGTGGGACCCTCCTGAACCAGGACCATGGAGGGCCCCACTGCTCTTTCCACCCTCCCAAGAAGGGCTTGCCGGCCAGCTGGGCGTGGACAGGAGACCCACTCGGGGGACAGGCCTGCTGCCTCCCGCCCCCGCAGGGTCCCAGCGTCATTCCTCACTTCCTGCAAGCACTCAGCAACAGACTGCACTCGGACACCAACGATCCCTTCCCAACGCCTTCCTCCCTGAGACGCAGATGGGATGATTTTCACAAAACGTGTATTTCTGAAGGCAGTGACGCGTTGATGCTGCGGCACAGTGCAGGAGGAAGGGGCAATCGGGAGGCCTTGGGGAATGGGGCGGGGGTGGCTGAGTGCTGCCTGGCGTGGCCTGGTGGGGAAGGCAGGGACGCCAGACCACCAAACCATTGGTGACCCCAAAACTCACAGGCCTGACCTGGCTCTGGAAACAAGAGAGGAAGTGAGTTCTTTGGGGACCTCACGGATTTATGAGGACAGTTACTTAATCATACAAATATCTACACAGAGCTATGGGTTTAGAACTATGACCGATCCAGAATACCGTGAGTTTGTGTATGTTGTGTGCACATGTGTACATGTGTGCATGTGTTACGTGTGTGTGTTGTGCACGTTGTGTGTGCGATGTGTACATGCATGTACTTTATGTGCATATGTGTATGTGTACTTGTGTAAGTTGTGTCTGTGCTGTATGTATATGCATGCATGTGTTGTGTGTACATGTATGTATATGTTATGCATGTGTGTGCATGCTGTGTGTGCAGGTATGTGTAAGCTGTGTGCATGTGTATATATGTGTGTTGTGTGTGTATGTATGCATGCGTATGTTGTGCATGTGTGTGCATGCTGTGTGTGCAGGTATGTGCAAGCTATGTGCATGTGTGCTGTGTGCATGTGTATGTGTGTTGTGTGTGCATGTATGCATGTGTATGTTGTGCATGTGTGCATGCTGTGTGTGCAGGTATGTGTAAGCTATGTGTGTGTGCATATATGTGTTTATGTGTGTATATGTAAGTTGTGTGCATGGATGTATAGTCTGTTGTGTGTGCACATGTGTATGTGTAAGTTGTGTGTGCACATGAGAGAGAAGACCTGGCCGAGCATGATCTCTACCTGTAATGGTCCAGTTTTGCTCTGGAGAAGCAGCTGACAGTTGTGTTTGGCAGCTGAGGGCCCACTGGTCGCTGTGGCCGGTCTTCTCCCCACTGAGCCCACCACAGCCTCTTCCCGACTCACAGGAGGGCACTCCCTAGCCCCACTCTCTTCTTCCACAGCAAACTTCTTTCTCAAGGAAGTCAGAGTGCTGGGAAGAGGCCAGTGGAGCCGGGAGCCCTGAATTCTCACTCTGGTACCTTCTTTTTTTTTTTTTTTTTTTTTGAGACGGAGTTTCGCTCTTGTTACCCAGGCTGGAGTGCAATGGCGCGATCTCGGCTCACCGCAACCTCCGCCTCCTGGGTTCAGGCAATTCTCCTGCCTCAGCCTCCTGAGTAGCTGGGATTACAGGCACATGCCACCATGCCCAGCTAATTTTTTGTATTTTTAGTAGACACGGGGTTTCACCATGTTGACCTGGATGGTCTCGATCTCTTGACCTCGTGATCCGCCCGCCTCAGCCTCCCAAAGTGCTGGGACAGGCTTGAGCCACCGCGCCCGGCACTCTGGTACCTTCTTTACCAGCTGTGGGCTGCCTGGGCCGGTCTCAGGGCCTCACCTGCTTCAGCCAAGGACGGCCAGGCCAGCCAGGCACCCTACCTGGTGCCTGCATACCTGCCTCTTCACTCTGAAAAGTCCCCACATCCTTTCAGCCTCCTCTTCTGGGTGTCACCCAGCTGCCCGCAGGCTATCAACTATCGACTATCGCTTCTGGCTGCAGCCACCTGGGACTCCAGTGAGCTGGACTGATGGGTCGCAGTGCCCTTCCTGTCCCCCTCATGCACTGCTCCACTGACTGGGGGTTCCAGTCACAGCTCACACAGCAGTGTTCCTCTGGCGGGGTTGGTCGTGTCTGTTCTGCGCCCCCAGCCCCACCTTCAGGACCTCCCCCCACCCAGTGCCAGCCTGCACGAGCCCTGTCCTTACTTGGGTCAACCTCCAGGCAGTGCCCCTCCTCCAGTGTGGCTGCCAGACCTGGGGGGGCACCAGGAGGCTTCCTTCGGGAGTCCCAGGTGACCACTGCAAGCGATTCTAACAGTGTCCAACTGATCTAATCAGCAGAGGAATTTCCATTGCTCAGCTCAGACCCAAATTCAATGAGAAAGGAACTATTCCAGCCTTCTTGAGAAGGAGGGGGTGGGATATTTTCCATAGCCACAAACAAAGAGAGGTTTAAAAATATCCTCAACTCCATCTTCAGAACAATCCCCACGCCCCTCTTCCTGAGAACCTTTGGTCCACCATCGGGTCTCAATTAAATCATTTCCTATGGAATGTGTCCCCATCCGTACAAGCCATAGGCTCTGGTGTCTTTCCCTGCACCCAACGGGGAGCAGCTGTACCCCCAAGGGGGAAGCATCGGGCTCGGTTCAGTGGATGAGTGGTGCCCCCCACCCCACACACAGCCTCAGGCACTGAGCTTGCTGCCTGTCCTGGGTCCACGTCCCTGCGTGCTACTGACCACCTCCCAGCTGTCCATAGTTTGACTTCCCCAGAGAGCCGAGGGCCCTCCCAGGCAGGGGCCCATATCTCTGACCCCTCGGCCCTACTGGGGGCCTATGGTGAGACTCAGCCCAAGACCCCAGCCAGGCTGACCTGTTCACGATAGACGTGTGTCCTCGGTACACCTGCAGACACTGCCCGGTCAGCACGTCCCACCTCCTGATGGTGCAGTCGGCACTGCATGTGAAGGCAGCTTCATCCTCCAGCTGGCAGAAGGTCACATAGCTTTCGTGTCCTGCAGATGAGGGACGCGGGAGATGTGAGCGTACTGGGGATGCCAGCTCCTGCTTTTCTTCTGGGAACAATGTTTGAAAAGGGCAGAAAGCAGGGTGTAGGGAGTGCTCGAGAGAAGACCGGAGTCAATTAGCTTTTTTTCTTTTTTTTTTTGGAGATGGAGTCTCGCTCTGTCACAAGGCTGGAGTGCAGTGGCACGATCCAGGATCACTGCAACCTCCGCCTCCCAGGTTCAAGGAACTCTCCTGCCTCAGCCTCCTGAGTAGCTGGGATTACCGGTGCCCACCACCATGCCCAGCTAATTCTTTGTATTTTTAGTAGAGATAGGTTTTGCCATGTTGGCCAGGCTGGTCTCAAACTCCTGACCTTAAGTGATCCGCCTGCCTGGGCCTCCCAAAGTGCTGGGATTACAGGCGTGAGCCACCGTGCCTGGCCCCTAAAGAATGACTTCAGTCTGAGTGATTCTCAGGAAGCTGGGAAAAGATGGACCCAAGATAGCAGGTCCTAATCCCTGGAACCCATCAATGTGACCTTACTTGGAGAAGGGTCTCTACAGCTGTGATGAGGTTAAGGACGCTGACTGGGGAGATTATCCTGGATTATCCAGGTGGGCTCTAAATACAGCCACAAGTGTCCTTACAAGAGACAGGCCAGGGAGATGTGACACATTCGGAAGAGGAAGCCATGAAAGTGGAGGCAGAGATGGATGTGGCCACGAGCCAAGGAATGCCAGCAGCCACTGGGGCTGGAAGAGGCCAGGAACCGACCATTCCCTGCAGGTTTCAGAGGGAGTGTGACCCTGCTGACCCCCTGCTTTTAGCCCAGGGACACTATTTCAGACCTCCGGGCTCCAGCACTGTGAAGAGTAAACTTCACTTGATTCCAGGCACCAAGCGTGCTCCTTTGTCACAGCAGCCCCAGGACACAAAAACAGACACAGTGATGATGAAACACAGCCCTGCCCTCCAAGGGAGCTCCGGGCCCAGAAGGGAAGACAGCCAAGGGCAGCATGTGGTCAGCAGAGCTCGGCACCCACATAGGCAGCGGCTGGCCGAGGCTCCGGAGAGAAGCCTGAGCACTGGGGACCGGGAAGACTGTGACTCAGTGCCCGTAAGTACAACAGCAGCTGGGAGAGCAGGCGTGTAGGGACTGACTCCGTGGGGCACCTCCAGGCCAGAGTCTGGGTGCTTGGCAGAGATGGCTGATGAGGCCAGGATGAGGCCAGAATGGAGGGCCAAGAGTGGAGGGCCATACAGGGTGTGTGGGCTCTCAGCACCTGAGCCACCCCCCGGGCTGATTGGGACTCTGTCTCACAGGTGCAGTTGGATAGCTTGACTAGCTTGACCTTCACTCTGGCTGCCAGGTCAATGTTTATGCCTCGGGCATTGCTTAGCAGCCCTGGGGGCCCTCAGGGTCTCCGATCCTAGTAGGGCCTGCCCTTCAGGTAAAGACGGTGTGTATACGTTGTCTCCCAGTATATATACTTGTCCCTCCCAATCCCATGGGGGATTAGTTCCAGGATCCCCTGCAGATACAAACTCTACACCGCTCACGTCCCTCTGGCGTAGTATTTGCCCATAACCCATGCGATTCTCCCACACGCTTTCATTCATCTCCGGGTTACTTAGAACACCCGCCGCGATGCCTACACATCACTTCACTTGCGTGGATTCACCGGAGCACTCGGTGAGCAGCAAAGCCAAATTTTGCTTTTTGGAACCTTGTGGAATGTTTTTTCCCTGGGTGTTTTTGATCTGGGGTTGGTTGAACCCACAGGTGTAGAAGGTGCTGGACGGGAAGGCTCAATGGATGTGAGGAGCTCGAGGCCAGGAAGGCGAATCAAAAGACTGCTAGAAGTAAGAGCCATTTTACAGATGAGAAAACGGAAGAATTCAAACAGCCACACATTTGGGGGAACGTATTTATTACATTAAGAATTCTGATAGAAGTTTAAAACTTCGTTTAGACAGCTGGTATTAGGTAGAAAGGGATTTAGAATTTCTTGGGTAGTTTCAAGTCAATTCACATCCACCCCTTCCCCCTGACCCTGAGTTTAAGTTCAGTTACTCTTGGAAGAACTCAACTTCCTGAGTTCTAAGAAACATAATTTAAAAAAAGTTTTCCAGTCTTCCTGGAGGGTATATACCAGGCCACTAAGAAAACAACATACAGATTAAGTAAACATTTGAAGAAACTGCAGATTCTGTTTCCCTTAAAATGTATGTCGGCTTACACATTGAGGGCAACGTGTTTGTCAAAACACAGGCCAGATTTTTGCCAACCCCAGAGAGTTTATAAAATGTTTTAAGATTGTCAATAAACTTTCCCTGAGAACAGATCCGTCCCACCCTCCCTGCTGCCACCAGGAGGGCTCAGCAGAGAGATCCAGGCTGGGGACACCCCAGATGGAAAGGCAGTCAAGGTGTGCTGTGGGCATTCAGGTGCCCGGCACCCGCCTCAGGATCGTGTGGGGCTGGTGCCAAGCCCAGCTGCTCACGCCCCATCTCAACCACAGGAGGGTGAAGCACGGGAGGGAGTCTCGTGTTAAGCCAAGAAAAGCACTTAAAAGCCAGTGGTGGCTGGTGAGCTGTGGCACCTCTACCTGGCAGAACTAAAGCCATGAAGCCAGGGCCACTGAAGGCCTGCAGTGTGGGGCCACTTGATGACGTGTAAGGACAACAGGATGGGTACACACATGACAGCAAATGGACACAAACGCAAGTGCATACACAGATTGAGGAAAACAGGCAATGACGAAAGGAAGGTAAAAAATCGCCTCCATTTCTCAACCAGATAGGCTGACCTGACGCCCTCTGCCCTTTGGCCTGTGGCAGAGCCTGGCACTGAGCCCGCAGAGGCCCACAGCGGTCAGGGCTCTGCTGTGGGCAGGCCCCTTCCCCTGGGTTTCCAAGCACTCACCCACATCTGAACACACACCCGAGTGAGTCACCAGTCACAGCCCTGCCAACAGAGCATGTCCCCAGCTCCATCCCCACGTTTCCAGAACACTAGACAGGCCTCCACTGACCCAGGCCTGTGGGGCCACCCCAGCGGCGGGGAGGAGGAATCAGGCCTGCCACCCCCAGAGCCCCCACCCCAACCCCAGGACCCCAGAAGAGGGAGGGCGTGGGGGAGGGAGGGCGTGGGGGAGGGAGGGCGTGGGGGAGGGAGGGCGTGGGGGAGGGAGGGCGTGGGGGAGGGAGGGCGTGGGGGAGGGAGGGCGTGGGGGAGGGAGGGCGTGGGGGAGGGAGGGCTCCTCACACCTCCAGGAGCTGCAGGGATTGTGCAGAATAAGCAAAAAGGCCAAACTAAAAATAAATATTTCTGAAGGGATGAAGAATGCAGATAAGATGCAGTTATTATGTTCAAAGAACATGCTGAGGCTGATGGGTTTCTGCCAAAGTAGCGCCTGCACGCCCCGAGGACTCGCTGGAAGTTTCAAGCCCAACTGCTCCCTCCCCGCCGACCCCATGCAGGGAAAGCAGCTCAGGGTGGCGGGTCTCTGTGGGCAGCAGTGGGCTGCAGTGGGCCTGGTGCCCCAGACTCGCGTGGAAGCCACGCCTCCCTTCTGTGTCCCAGCTCTAGACGATGGACTGGACAGCCGCCCTGGAGGCCACACGGAGCACGGATGTCACCACTGACCGGCTTGCTCCAGCCCTTGTAGCACAAGGGTTATTTTCACCGGTGGGGGAAGCCCCACCGAGCCTGCCGTCCAGGGCCGAGCCTTCCTCTGCCCCCCGGTCCCTCTCTTTTCCACCCTGGCTGGCTGTAGCCATCCAACCTGGAAGGAAGCCCTCTCAGCTGTTTCTAGGATGCAGTGACTGCACCCCCCCACTCAGGCCCAGAACAGGTGACAGCCTTTCTGGTCCAAGCCATGGCTACTGTGATTCCCTTAGGCTGCACCTGCGTTTTGCAGAGTGTCCCTTTATGAAACTCTCCGGGTAGAACCCAGTTTTGAGGGTGCCAGGACCCTGAGGCAGGTGACATCTAGGCCCAGAAGCACCGACAGTGTGGCTGAAATGACACTAATGTGACCACTGAAGACCTGTAGCATTTCCGCCAACGCCCACTTTGAGCCAAGACCTATGCAGCTTGGCTTTCCGGACTCCTGTGGGAGCAGTCACTTGCCCCCAAGCTGTGGGAGGCTACTGTGGCTCTGGCCACTGACGTGCAGCAAGCCTCCTTCAGCCCATCTTCGTGGTCACTGCTCTCCCACCAGGCTTCCCTAGGACCCTCCCGTACCACAGGCTCCCAGCAAAGGGGAATGTGCAGTTGTACCCAGGAACTTAAAACAATCCCCACCCCCTCACGTCAGAAGACGAGGAAACGTGGGACAGCCACAGCAGGCTGCCGCCTTCAGCCTGAGTCCCTTATTCAACGGGAACAGGATAGGGTAGACACCACCATTTTGGAAAATGTCATTCATCTCATTGAACCAATAAAGGGCCCCCAAATAAGGATACAACCAATGAATAAACCTGAAAAAGAGGGGGTCGGGGATAAGCACGTGGCAAGTAACTTTTCTCTTTGCAGAGTAATTGCAATGAAGCCTTTCTCGCTGTGAGGTCACCAACTGCATTTGAAAGACGATTCTCTGTATAACAAGCGAGCGCACCCACAGGGACCGGCCCCCACACACAGTTCTGTACCCCACTTTCCCCGGGGGCCTCCAGGAGCAGCACCTGGCCCACCAACCCCGCACGCCACAGGGAACGGCCCTCTCTCTTCCTCTCCCTCTTACTCCTCGGCCCAAGCTTTCCTAAGCTCTTCGAGACACCCAGGAAAGCCTCCGGTCCCTGATCACCCCTGCTGCCCGGAAGAGAGTCAGAGGTCTGCAGAGGAAGAGCCTCCCTAGGAGCCGCCAACCCCAGCCACTCTGCCTGAGAAGTCCAGGACTGGCCAGTCACAGGCTCCTGTGGGCCCGGAGCTGCGCAAGGGTCAGGATAGAACCGGAGTGGAAAGAGATCTAGATTTAGAGTCAGGATGCTTCAAGGATGGGCCACCGTGGGCCAGCCGTGTGGTCTGGACACAACTTCCCCTGCAGCAGCGTCTTGGGTAGGAGAAGTGCCATGTGCAGTCTTCAGAAGCCCTCTCTGCCATGAACCAGCTGTGGCATCCTGGACAAGTCCTCCGCCTGCACCGCGCCTCGGGGGATGTTGGCGACAGCACCCACCCCATAGTTGGTGGAATCCGGAAAACAGCGTGAATGCTCTGCATGCTGCTACCACATCTGCACCTCCTCACTCCTCTGTGAACGGGTGTCAACCCACCCGTCTCAGAGTCGTGAGGACTCATTACACAATAAAGAAGTATGTCGGTGTGTATTTATAAAGTATAGGGCACTAAACAAATGTTAAGACATTTTAATAATATTTCACTGATAGTAAAAAAAATCCTGGTCGGGCGCGGTGGCTCAAGCCTGTAATCCCAGCACTTTGGGAGGCCGAGGCAGGTGGATCACGAGGTCGAGAGATCGAGACCATCCTGGTCAACATGGTGAAACCCCGTCTCTACTAAAAATACAAAACATTAGCTGGGCATGGTGGCACGTGTCTGTAATCCCAGCTACTCAGGAGGCTGAGGCAGGAGAATTGCCTGAACCCAGGAGGCGGAGGTTGCGGTGAGCCGAGATCGCGCCATTGCACTCCAGCCTGGGTAACAAGAGCGAAACTCCGTCTCAAAAAAAAAAAAAATCCTACAGGAGGAAGAAACTGTCATGACCTTGCGTTCCTTGGGAGAGCCACACAAAAGGACTGTCCCACACTCAGGATGACTCTTCTGCAAGTTAAGTGTATCAGCAGAATCTCAGGATAAAGAAAGATGGCCTCTGTCCTCCTGTCTTTGAAAATTCTTGAAAAATGCCAAACCCATGTAATAGCAAAAACAATCCTAGCAAAAGCAGGCTGCAGTTCTTTCATTCCACAGAATCCTGCTTGAGCCGGGATAGTCCTGGCCTCGATTAGGGCAGAAGGTCGGGCATCCTCCCTGGGAAGTGAGTGTCAGTGCCTCAAGGGGACAAGCAGCACTGAGGGCCACAAAGTGGGTGTGAAGGAAGGAGGCACAGGTGCCAGGCAGAGAACTGGGCAGGAGGGTGGGCCCTGGAGGCTTGGTGAGGCTCCAGAGCTGCCACGGGTACAAAGTCAGATGCCCACCAGGCCACAGACAGCCTGGCAAAGCCTTGGCCTCACTGGGAAGAAAACCCACCTAACGCACTGAGCTCATGCAACAGGTCCCCAGCCCAGGGGAAGCCCAGGGCCAGCTGTGCAGCAGACCCACCCAAAAGCTTGTTAGAAACACCAATTCTAGGCTGGGTGCAGTGGCTCACACCTGTAACCACAGCACTTTGGGAGGCCCGAAGCGAGTGGATCACCTGAGATAAGGAGTTTGAGACTAGCCTGGCCAACATGATGAAACCCCATGTCTAATAAAAATACAAAAAAATTTGCTGGGCATGGTGGCACATGCCTGTAGTCCCAGCTACTTGGGAGGCTGAGACAGGAGAATCACTTGAACCCGGGAGGTGGAGGTTGCAGTGAGCCAAGGTCGCGCCACTGCACTCCAGCCTGGGCAACAAGAGCGAAACTCCATCTCAAAAAACAAACAAAACCACAGAAATGCCAATTCGAGAGCTCTACTCGCAGAGGACTGCATCGCTGGAGCCCAGGCCTGGGATCTGCATTTCTGAAAAACCACGAACTCCTCTGCCCCCAACACGGTCTTAGGCTTGGAGCAGGAACAACTGGACTCCGCATTTCTAAAGACTTCACATGCCGGGCGCGGTGGCTCAAGCCTGTAATCCCAGCACTTTGGGAGGCCGAGGCGGGTGGATCACGAGGTCGAGAGATCGAGACCATCCTGGTCAACATGGTGAAACCCCGTCTCTACTAAAAATATAAAAAATTAGCTGGGCATGGTGGCGTGTGCCTATAATCCCAGCTACTCAGGAGGCTGAGGCAGGAGAATTGCCTCAGCCCAGGAGGCGGAGGTTGCGGTGAGCCGAGATCGCGCCATTGCACTCCAGCCTGGGTAACAAGAGCGAAACTCCGTCTCAAAAAAAAAAAAAAAGACTTCACATTTTCCACTCCCAGCTGAGTGCCTATTGGTGTGTGTGGCTGTTTGGGGGTGGGGTGGGGATGTGTTAGTTTGTGGCTACCTCTCCATTATCCACACCAACTCCCAAGTAACCAGTAACCTAAAGTCATCCCTGTTGGGTTTGAAATATCTACCCTAACTGTTATTTTATTTTATTTTTTTTTTCAGACGGAGTCTTGCTCTGTGGCCCAGGCTGGCATGCAGTGGCACTATCTTGCCTCACTGCAACCTCCCCCTCCCGGGTTCAAATGATTCTCCTGCCTCAGCCTCCCGAGCAGCTGGGATTACAGGCGCCTGGAACCATGCCCAGCTAATTTTTTGTATTTTTATTAGACACAGGGTTCCATCATCTTGGCCAGGCTGGTCTCCAATTCCTGACCTCAGGTGATCCACCCGCCTCAGCCTCCCAAAGTGCTGGGATTACAGGTGTGAGCCACTGCACCTGGTCAACTGTTCTTATTTAAAACCAGCAGTAACAGGATTAGCCAATATTGGGGCCAATAACCTACTTAAGTGGGAAGGCCTGGATGAGGCCACTGAGGGTTCACTGACAATGGTGGAAAAGCTGGCGGTGATAAAGAACTGTCCCCAGTACAGAAAGCCTCAAGGCTCATCCAGGGGACTTAGTGTGCTACCCAGGCAGTAAGAGGGCCAGAGCTGAAAGGGACCTCAACCGTGCATGGGACAGGCCCAGGGGAAGGTGCAGCCAAGGAACACTGACCTGCTGAGTGGGTACAGGACACGAATAGAAACCGGCAGACACGCAGGCGGGGTTTACAGCAGTGAGAGGACTCAGACTGCAATCTACCCCTCACTGGCTGTGCGACCTGGGCGAGTTTCTCAACCCCCAGCCTCAGTTTCCATCTGTCTGTGGGGTAGGTAACGTAGAGTGAGGACACACTTCTCTCGCACTGCTGGCCCTTAACAAGCCCCTATTGTTACTGTGATAGTCGTCAACCGGAAATGCCGACAGATCACAAGTGGCCACAAAGAGGCTGCCTGGCACCTGGAGACAGGGACAGTTTGCTCAGAAGGGGCAGAGGGGCAACTTTGGTTTGGGAACTTTGTTGACAAGCGAGATTTCCTGCGCCAACTGACAGATGACCTTTGCCTTTGCAGCGAGCGCCCCTTGGCCCACCCACCCGACCCCGGCCGCACCCTGCTCTGCACCCGCACCCCACCCCCAGATCTCACCCTGCCCTGTCGTGCAATCAGTAGCCAGATGCTGGGCCCAGACAAGCGATCTCCCGCGAGTGTGCCGGATCGGCGGGGGTTGAACTTCTAGAAAGGGGTCTGCGGGCTCAGGAGCTGGGGTTGGCGGTCTGGGGCCGGTGAGCGGCGGCGAAAAGGGCAGGGAGCGGGTGGGAGAGTGTACCTTGCAGGAGCGCGCAGCACTGGCCGTCCGCGGTGCTCCAGAGCCGGGCCGTGCCGTCCTCGCTGCCCGTCAGCAGGCGCTGCCCGTCGGGGCTCAGGCTCAGCCAGTTGATGCCCCCGCGGTGGTCGGCGCAGACCCTCAGGGCCGACCCGCCGCCCCCCATCCCGCTGGCCGGCCTGGGGGCGAAAAGGAGTCGCGCCTCGCTAGGGAGGAGTGCCCTGGGGTCCGCGCTGCGGCTCCGTATGGCGGCGGCCCGCGGCCATCGCCGGGAGCCTGGACGCCCGACTTCTGCGGAGGCTCGCGGCGAGGGAGGGTGAAGGACCCTAGCCCTTCGCCGCCGGCCCCAACCTCTGGGGCCGCGAACCCGGCAGGGGACTGCGTTGCGGCGGGCGGTTCACTTGGGACCCCCGCCCTGGGTGGAGCCGTACTGAGCGCGCGGGCGCAGAGCACCCCCTTCCCGGTACCGCTCGGAGGACGCACGCCCACCGGGCAAGCTGGGCAGCGGCGTCTCGGGGCGCACAAGGAGCCACCCCCAGCCTCCTCTCGCGCTCGGAGAGCGGGGGTGGGGAGAGGGACACGGGAAGCCTTGCGCCTCGCGCCCTACCCGGCAGAACGCGGAACAATACGGTCCAGCCTGGCTCCTCCTCAGAGACCACCCCTCACCCGATCCCCTCCCACTTCTCGGGCTGCGCCCCAGCCCCCACCCCGCGAGCCCGCAGCCTCCCCCACGGTGTCGTTACGCGGGTCCCGGGGGCGGCTCCACGTGCGACCTTCCTGGTTGCCCGAGCTGTGCCTCTGGGCTCTGCCTGCCACCTCTGCCGCCGCCCGGGTCCCCCGAGCCCACGGCCGGGACGAGGGTGGGGAGGAGGAGGCGGACAAAGGGTCCGGGTGGGTAGACTCGCTCGCCGGGGACTCTTGGGGCGCAGCTCCACCGACTCCTCGCTTGTTCGCCTCCACCGGGCAAGCCAGGTCCTCCCGTGCGCCGAGCCCTAAGGACCCTGCCCGAGAGGCTCTCGGGGACTTGGGGACGGTCCCCCGATGGAGGGTGCGACAGGGAAAGCCCCGAGTCCGCCCTCCCTGGGAATCACGCGCACGCCCCGGGTTCTACTTTGTTCCAGCCGGGGTGGGGGTGGGGTGCGAGCCGCGGAGGGGTTGGTGGAGCCGCGCGGGGATGTCAGGTTCACCCTCCAGCCGCCGCGGGCTCCACCGGCCTGGCGCGCGCCTCTGGTGGACCCCGGGGTCTGCCCAAGCCCTCCCGGAGCGCCCAGCGGCTGGTTTCCATTAAGGCAGTTCCCGGCGCCGACTTCGCTGGGGGCGGGGAAGGTGACCCCCAACTCGGATCCCGCAGGTCCTAAAGGTAGCAGGATTTCCAGAACTCTCCAGGGCTCTCTCCGGAGAGAGGGAGTAGGTCAAGGAAGGGGCGTCTTTGGCGAGCCAGCCCGCAGCAGCGGGACGACCGGCCCTGCCAGCTCTGCTCCATCCAGACTCCAGAAGAAACACCTCCCACCCCCGTCGTGGGATCTCCCAGGGCCTTGGGCCGTTTATTCCCTGAGTGGCCTAACCAGAGAAATCCATTCTTTTCCCTCGAAACTTGTAAAGCAGCCGGCGCCTCAGCTTAAGGAGCGTAGCCCTTCCTTAGCAGGCGATGGGGAGGGGGGTCAGTGGAGGGGCGTTAGGACTGGATTTGGGGTGGTTGGTGCCCGTCATCCAGCCGGAGAGAGGGAGCCCGAAAGGAGAGAAGTTTTCAGGAGGTGGAGGCTCGGATGCCTGCGAGAGGGAGAGGACCGGGAGCCTCCCTTGTGCTGAGGCTGGTAGCTGGTTTTGCGCCCTGCAGGCTGAAGATGATTCCTCTCCGGAGCCGGTGAACCTCAGGGCGCCATCGTACATCCTGAAGTGAAGACTGCGGTGTGGCCTCCAGGTGAGGACAGGCGGGGTGTGGTGGGGTCTGGTGAGGACCGAGGAGGCTGGGAGGGTTTATCTGGAGAAGTGCCAGAGGAAACCCAAACTTTCTGGGCGCAGGGACCAAGGAGAACCAGGCATCCACTCTTTTGGAAACTAAGGGGAGGAGGGTTGAAAGCAGTCTGGGAGCTGGGGACAGGTCGCAGGTCGCAGGTCGCAGGTCGTAGGTCGGGCGAGCTTGCCTGGTCTTGGTTCAGAGGAAAAAACTAGGAGAAAAGCTTAACTTTTAAGGGGGCTACGCAGGATTCCTGAGCAAGATGACCCCCATGCTCTCTGGTTCCTCTCTTCTGCCACCAACACAAGCCATCAGCCCCCATGCTCAGCTCCCAGCAGGCAGAGGGTTCAAAAGCGCCAGTGCCATATCAGCTTGGGAGCCTGCGGTCCATACACTGCTGACCTTACCTACTTCCTCTTTCCAAGTTGATAGATTCTTTTGTTCTTGGGCCCTCCTCCCCCGCCTCCACCTCCCCACCCTTCCTTCTCTGGTTTGGCACACAGTGGCCCCCTGGTGGGGGTGAGCCAGCCATCTCTAGGGGGCCGTGGTGCAGATGTCCTCAGCCAGCCTGCCTTCCCTTTCTCTTGCAGGTTGTAAGTTACAGACTCTGGAAAATTGCCCCCAAATCTAACAGGAGTACAAGAAGCGGGGGAGGTTGAAAATCAGCACCTAATTTCCCTGAAACTCGGGTCCCCCCGCCTCCACCTTGAGTTAGCAAAGCTGTAGAGGCTGGGTCTCCAGCAGAACCGGGGCTCCCTTCACCTTTCACACCTTTTAACTCTTTCGGAGCCTCCAAGAGGGCCTGGAGTTCGATGGTGCCCAGGCCCTCCTGGACCTAATCACTTTATAAATGGAAGGCCCTGTGGGAAGGGGACCTGGTGGGGTGCAGGAGGGAATGGTTAAGCTTTAAGAAGTAAGAAAGGGGCTGGGTGGGGTGGCTCACGCCTGTAATCCCTGCGCTTTGGAGGCGGAGGAGGGTAGATCACAAGGTCAGGAGTTCAAGACCAGCCTTGCCAGTTTGTTGAAACCCCGTCTCTACTAAAAATACAAAAATTAGCTGGGCATGGTGGTGGGCACCTGGAGTCCCAGCTACTTGGGATGCTGAGGCAGGAGAACTGCTTGAACCTGGGAGGCAGAGGTTGCAGTGAGCTGAGATTGTGCTATTGCACTCCAGCCTGGGTGACAGAGCAAGACTCCATCTCAAAAAAAAAAAAAAAAAAAAGGCAGGAAACGGGCAGTGAATAACAAGTGAAGGGTGAGGGGGGTGTATTTTGTTCTAGGGAGTGCTCATTCCCTGTGCCAGACGAACTGCCACAATTTACCCTGCTGGAAAGAGTGACCCTCTGGGGCCTCTGTGAGAAGCATTGGGAAAGCTAGATATTCTCAAGTCGGTGGGGAGGGGGTGCGGTGACAGAGGGAGCCTTCTGCAGGGGTGCCCACAGGGAACGGCATGGCCAGAGCTTTGTCAGAATTGTTCTTTCCCCCTGGCACAACCTGCAGTGCTGGTGGTAAGAGTGCCTGTGGTGATCGTCATCTTCATAGTTTGGGTACTTACTGTGTGTCAGGTACTGTGCTAAGTGCTGGTACTTTTCAACAGGATGGATGCCTTCCCAGTCCTGCAGCCACCTGCAGACTCTCACAAGCACTGTGTTCCCAGAAGAAAAGCTTCTACCCCAGGCCCAGGGGAGCTGGGAGAAAGCAGGAAGCCCGGAAGGTTTTTCACCCCAGGGGTGAGCTTGCATGATTGAAGATATATTTGAGGAAAATTGTACAGATAGTCCCAACTTAGCACTGTTCCACTTTATGATGGTATGGAAATGATGGCATTCAGTAGAAATTGTACTTCGAGTGCCAATACAATCACTATTTCTCACTTTCAGTGCAGTATTCAATAAATTACATGAGATAGTCAACACTTTCCTATAAAATAGGCTTTGTGTAAGATGATTCTGCCCAAATGTAAGGCTAATGCAAGTTCTCTGAGCACATTTAAGAGAAGTCTGGACTAAGTGATGATATTCCATAAGTTAGGCACATTGAATGTATTTTAAACTTAGGATATTCTCAACTTGCACGGGTTTATCAGAACATGACATCATTAATCACTCAAGGACCATCTGTGCTACTAATGTGGAGGAAGGCAGGCAATAGCCAGAGGAGAGCACAGCATGGAAGAAGCGGCATTTTTTTTTTTTTTTTTTTTTTTTTAGACGGAGTTTCACTCTTGTTACCCAGGCTGGAGTGCAATGGCCCGATCTCGGCTCACCGCAACCTCCGCCTCCTGGGTTCAGGCAATTCTCCTGCCTCAGCCTCCTGAGTAGCTGGGATTACAGGCACACACCACCATGCCCAGCTAATTTTTGTATTTTTAGTAGAGACAGGGTTTCACCTTGTTGACCAGGATGGTCTCGATCTCTTGACCTCGTGATCCACCCGCCTCGGCCTCCCAAAGTGCTGGGATTACAGGCGTGAGCCACTGCGCCCGGCACTCAAGAAGCGGCATTTTTAAAGACAGAGACCAGCTTTAAATATTGCTAAGAAAGACCTTGTAGAGAGGAGCTGGTGATACTGGAGACAGCAGGCAACAGAGTAAGAGCCCGGAAGAACAGGAAGAGCACGGAGTCTCCTCTTCTGGGAGCAGAAGGAGTGTCGACTTAAATGTTAGGGAGGAAAGATGAACCTCGCAGAGAACCTGCAAAACCCAGTCTCAGAAATACCCGCCTGCACCTAAAACCTCAGTTACTGAAAGTCTGAAGAGCAATGAATATGATGTGAAATCTTGGCAGTGGGTACATGTGGTTTTGTTAGATTATTCTTTGTATCTGTATTTCTACTATCTTAAAATACACTATCAGTTTTAAAACTATACAAAAGAGGCTCTGGCAAGGGGGGTGGCTCACGCCTGTAATCCCAGCACTTTGGGAGGCCGAGGCAGTTGGATCACCTGAGGTCGAGAGTTCGAGACCAGCCTGGCCAACATGGTGAAACCCCGTCTCTACTAAAAATACAAAATTAGCCGGGTGTGCTGGTGGGCACCTGTAATCCTGGGCAACAAGAGTGAAACTCTGTCTCAAAAAAAAAAAAAAAAGATACTCACTGTCATTAGTCATAAAGGAAATACAGATCGAAAAGCGGTGAGATGCCACTTAACACCCACCAGGATGGGTAATAGGATGGGAAAAATAAGTGTGGGTGAGGATGTGGAAAAATCAGCCCTCACACACTGCTGGTGAGAATGTCAGATGGTGCAACTGCTCTGTGTGACGGTCTGGCAGTCCCTCAAACGATTAAACACAGAGTTACCATGTGAGCCAGCATTTCCATATATATCTAGGAGAAATGGGCATTATTCCTAATAGACAAGCAGTAGAAACAGCCCCACGGTTCATCAGCCCACGCGTGGGTGAACTAAATGTGGCGTACACAGATAATGGAATATTGTTCAGCCATAACAAAGAAGAAGTTGCTGACAAATTGTACAGTATGCAGGGACCTTGAAAACGGATTAAGTGAAAGAGGTCAGGCACCAAAGACCACATATTACATGATTCCATTCAAGGGATCAATCCAGAACAAGGGAGTCTGCAGAGACAGTTGGTTAGTGGTTGCCTGGGGCTTGGAGAAGAGGTCTGGGGAGCGGAGGCATGATGGGGATAGCATACATGAGTATACACGGTCCCTTCCGGGTGATGAAAATGTTCTAAAATGAACTGCGGTTCTGGTTGCATGTCTCTATGGATATACTAAAAACCATTGCATTGTACACTTTACATGATCACCTGCACAGTATGTGAACTGTAGCTCGATAAAGCTGTTTTTAAAAAGCCATACATACATGAGCTGTCGTATCACTTCATATCCACTAGTCTGGGCCATCATTTTTAAAATGGAAAATCACAAGTGCTGGTGAGGATGAGGAGAAACTGGACCCCTCATGCAGTGTTGGTGGGAACGTAACACAGGGCTGCCACTTTGGAAGAGTGTGGAGCTTCCTCAATAAGATTAAACACAGAGTGACCATATGATCTAGTAATTCTACTCCTAGGTACAAACCCCGGAGCGTGGAAAACAGGTGTTCAAACAGAAATCTGGACTTACTGTTTATAGTAGCTCTATCCACAATAGGCAAAAGGTGGAAGCCACCAAGTGTCCCGATGAACAGACCAACGCCACGCGCTGTGTTCACATAGTGGAATAGTGTTCAGCCCCAAAAGGAAGCACCGATGCATGCTACACATGGGTGAACCTAGAAAACACGCTAAGTGAGAGAAGCCAGATACAAAAGGACCAATGTGTGACTCCACTGATGCGAAATCTCCAGGACGGACCAGTCCCTGCAGAGGGGAGCGGATCAGTGGCTGCCTGGAGCTTGGAGGAGGGGAATGGGCAGTGGCTGCTTACTGGGTACTGGGTTTCAGTTTGTGGTGATGAAATGTTCTAGAACCAGACAGCGATGATGGTTGCATAACATTGTCAGTGTGCTTTATGCCACTGGATTGCACTATTTAAAATGGTTATGGGCCAGGCACAGTGGCTCACGCCTGTAATCCCAACACTTTGGGAGGCCAAGGTAGGCAGATCACCTGAGGTCGGGAATTCGAGACCAGCCTGACCAACATGGAGAAACCCTGTCTTTACTAAAAATACAAAGTTAGCCAGGCATGGTGACACATGCCTGTAATCCCAGCTACTCAGGAGGCTGAGGCAAGAGAATTGCTGGAACCCGGGAGGTGGAGGTTGCAGTGAGCCGAGATCGCACATTGCCTGGACAACAAGAGTGAAACTCTGTCTCAAAAAATAAAATAAAATTGTTA